GTCAGTCGTTTGAAAATGTGTCAGACTTTTCTTTTTCTTTTTGTGATTGATGCTGTTGTAGACTAGAGTCGATAAAATGTCCCAAAGTGCCGTCTTTAAATTTCTCCTTATGTCAAACCAATACTTGGGGCACCAGATGTCGCATGCCCCATGTACGGAGGCGGTAGTCCTCGTTGCAGCGGTTGTGGGTTCAAATCATCATATGTAAAAAAATGTATTTTTAAAATCACAGAGGTTCCCAACATGAAAAAATTAGACACTTATTTTTTTGCTTTTCTGTGTCTGATTTATTTGTCGATTATAGACTTTGATGCTAAATAAGTTCATCATGATCATGAAGCCAGATCCCACAGACACCCCCCCCCCCCCCCTTTATCAAACCAACAGTTAAAATCCCAAAGACTAATTATGCACAATAAAGTCGTCACATTAAGTTAGCTTGAACCAGCTAACGTTCATATTTTTACTTCAAACATCCCTGAAAACATTCTAATCTCTCCTCAAAGTATTAATCTGTGAGTTTGATCTTTGTTCTGTTAATCGTTAATGTATGAAGAAGATCTTTGATGTGACTGTTTAATCGTCTTTACTGAAACTGGTGAACCGTTCCCTCCTTATATAAGTCAAATCAACATATGGAGGGGGGGGCAGTCGCACCCAGCCCCCCAGTCGCACTGAATATACAGGTTTCAGTTCAAACATGTGGCCCAGTGTTTCTCTATTGATATTCTAATTGCTGGCCTCCCCCCTCGTCAGCTGATGAGACTGATAAAAGCTCTGTTTAAAGCTGAGAGTATTTCTCCAAAGAGCAGAGAGCACTTAGACACACTTACACCTCGCCGTTTGTTTATTGACTGACATCAAACTACAACCTGTCAACCCCCCCGATACCAGAAGAAATGTGAATGTTTCTTCTAAATGCTCAAACACGTCACCGTAATGCTGTCTTTAAAAGTTAAAGGATACAAACACTGTATGAAGGACGTGGAATATAAAAATGTTTCTTACTTTTTAATGATTTCTTTATTTTACGTTTAAGCAACAACTAAATGTTTCCTTCACACATCTCCGGTGTGATATAAAACATATGTTATGTAGATTTAAAGAATAATAACACTCATCACAGAGCTCATTTAAAGACGAGTTCAAGAGCTTCAGTTTCTACATAAATAGTCAGAAGTTTGTAAAGTTGAGACAAAGTTAAAGTAAGAAGATGAAAGAGATGAACAGTTAGAGGGACAGAGCACATTGACGCGCGAGTCTCTAAATGGGTTTAACCGATGTGAGCTGCTTCACTCCTGCAGCACCTGAGCAGGTGTTCAGACAGCGAGCACGGAATAAGACAACATAAAGCATGAAACAAAGCACACTTCAGTACATTTGAGTAACCTGCAGATGATTGTTTGGACCTGTTTTTGTCTTTTTATAATCAAAATGATACAAAAACAAATCATAAAACTTTTAAAACAATAAAAAACGCAAAAAGACGCTTTGGAAGGCGTTACACTGATTTAAAGACAACAATAGAACGAGAACAGCACTACTGTAGTTAAACCTGCAGATCTGGATTATTTAAGACATACAAACAGATTTAAAAAAGCCCAAAAATCATGTAAATAAGCTTCAGATTGCAGCAATACTATAAATAATGTTTAATAACTCGAGGGCATTTGAATAGATGTCTGAGTCTGCTAACCATGAAAAGGATCAAAAACAATTAGTAGTTACAGAGCTCGTACAGGATCAGCTCAAATATCTGAGGTCTACAGGGACCTATATAAAGAAGCTGTACTCCAGCTCTCTGAGAATAAACCTGTGTCAGTGTCAGACATGGTTCGGTGTATTTCCAGCTTTCATTCGCCCTCATCACAGCTGTTTGTGTAAACTCCGTTTAGCAGAAAGCGCTTCCCCTGATCTTTAAAATTCTCACTACTGTTTTCACCTCACAGAGCCTGCGGGCTGCTTCTCTCTCTTTCTGAGTAAACCTGATACCTCCTCATCTTCAGACAGGAGGGCTGAGCTCAGGCTGGGCTCCGCCCCCCCCTCCCCCCCCTCCTCTGTCTCGCCTCCTGCTATAAAGCCCTCCCTCCCTCAGTGCAGCTCAGACCAAAGTTTAGATAGCGTGTGTGAGGATCCCCGTGCCATGAAGGGAGAAGAAGAAAGAGAAGGGGGATTTCATTTATTTATTTAGAGGGTTTTCAACTCTCACGCAGCCTTTACTTTATCATCATTTTTTGATTTTTCTCTCGTGTGGATTACTCGGACCTGACTCTTCAGGATTAAAAAAAAAAAGGATATTGTGTTTTTACTCAAAGCTATGGTGGCTTACGATGAACTGGGTAGCTTGGTGCCTATCAAACGGACTCTGCAAGTGATAGACTACCAGAACCAAGCCAACAAAGACTTAGAGGTGAGATGCTTGAAAAAAAAAACAACTGTGATATTTCTGCTCTGTTTAGCTCTTTCTTTGGGCCAATGTTTGACTCGAACTCATTAAGATGAAGTAATATCTTTGAGTCAGATTGTGAGTGAATCAGTGCCTAACCCTGGTTTTTATCTCACTTGAGCACACACTGTTTTCAGGTGTGTGTGCCTGAGACTTTGAACTTTGTTCCTTGGCACTTTAAAACAATGCTTCAGATATTGCTTAACTTGGAGAAGTTAATCATTAGAGATCAAACTGCACCTAGAAAACACTAAGAAGTGATCTCACCCCCCTTAGAGTTGTGTATTCCCCCCTGTCTGATGTTAAATATGCATCCCAGCAGGCAGCTCTCTCAGCCTTGGTGGGATATGGAGAGTCTGTGTTCAGCAGGGGGTAAACTCTGAGTCAACACCCCTGCTTCCTTTTTGTTAAGGCTTTCTTTGCTTTTGAACTCTTAATATTTGCAGATAAACCAGGTTATTCGTGATGCAGCCCGCGAGCATTCCTTCATCTGCACACTTAAAAGGACCCAGGTGTTTCAAACCCAGGTGTTCTCTTTGCACTTTAAAAAAAACTCAGCTCCTTTCTTCCTCTTTTTTGAGACTTCCTTGGTTTGGTTCTCTTTCGGAAGAGATTTCAGGAAAGTGCGGTTTCATTGACTGTAAGCCACGAGCGAAAAGCAGAAGTGTGTCCTGATCTTGCACAGTTTCAGCTTCAATCAGGACCATTTCCCCCCCCCCTCCTGCGGTGACTTATCAGTGACCTCGACTCTGCCTGCCCCGTTCCCAGCTCCTATCAGGCTCAAGCTGTGCAGCAGCCGCGGGGACACATCTGTGGTGTTCGCTCACTGCACACAGCAGGGTACATCAAAGGGGAAAGCACAGGAAGGGAGTTCCTGATGTTTATGAGCTTGTAATCTTAGGTTAGAGGAGTTTTTGAGGAGCACATCTGTACATCACATTACATCTGATGTGTGTCTGCAGGGTCATTGTTCCCCTGATAATGGTAAACCACAAACCCCGGATCCGTCTGGTTTCCTGAAGTGAGCCAGAGTCGCAGTTACTCCACCGAGTTCGCAGGTCAAACAGCCAGGAATAGAAACTTTCCCCCGTCTGTTTCACCGTACAGCTGATAAACACAGAGTGGGACCGCTGGCTTTGTGTTATTTTTGGACTAATTCTATTTGACAGGAAGGGAAACACCCTCCCTACTGTAACTTATGATTTCTACTTTTATTCCGTTGTCTACTGATACAAAAAGGTCACAAATTAGAGTCTTGACATGTAGCAGCTGCCTTTGCTTGCTTTGGCCACCAGAGGGCTTGCAAAGTTCTCATGCCTGTTTGTCTAACTGTTCAGGTCCAATGTGCAGACGGGGACCGCAGCAGACCGTGACTCGACCGCAGCAGCATCAGCTCACAGCAGACTGAGCGGATCTGTTCAACAGCTGTGTCCGCAGAGAGCCCGGAGCCTCAATGGCTGCTCTGTTTCCCAGAACTGCTGAGCCAAGGCAAAACCCTCATTTGGCCTGAGTCAGTAGAAAACACAAGCAGCTTTTCGCACTGATTTAGACAGCAAGCAGTCATTAGTGTGAGGTTTTTTTAAAATGCAAATTTTGGAAATGCTAATTACAGCTGCGGCGGCCGTCTTGTAGTGTGGACTTTTTGAAGAGGCTGAAATCATTACCTCAGATCTGCAGCTCTTTGATTCCTGCAGCCTGTTGTCGTTGGCACAAGGCCAAGCAGCTCTGCTTTCTCCCTGCCTGAGGGCTGGGTAAGGGGGGGGAAGGGGGGTCACCTGGGCCCAGGTGTGGTGCAGCTCTCACGCGAGGCCTGTCGAAGAGCCTGTCTCGACTCGCAGCTCTAAACATGGCTGTGCACCCCCTGCGACGCCGCACTGTGTAAACACTCAAAGGGGACAGATTCATTGTCTGTTTACAACCACTGCCTCCTTTCCCGGGGGACTCACAGCGGTGGTCTGTTGTACTGAGCTGTCCTGACACACTGTCCCTGCTAGTGCTGCTACTTTGTCTCTGCGGAACACAGATCAGGAAGCATTTATCTCACTGTTTGAGCAGATCCTCTCACTCTCAAGTGGCGCTGGGGCTGTTGTCAGGCCAGATAGTAGCAGGGGAGGGGGGGCTGTTGAACAGCTGAGAGCAGGGTCTCGTGCATTCCTGGCATTCCTCCAGACCCCTTTCCCCTTCCAGATCAGCAGTCAGAGAGGGTCTTTGTGCTCAGTGGGCTGTCCTGGCTCGAGACTCTTCACATGATGGAGCCAACAGCTGCTGGAGCTGCTTCCTCTGCCTGTCCGCCACTCAGCCAGCCAGCCAGTCTGTCTGTCTGTGGCTCGACTTCGGCTCCAGCAGCTCCGATTTCCTCCCCTCAAAAACTGGGAGTGCAGTCCATAATAAGGATTTATGACTCGACTTGATGTGTTTAATCTCAAGGAAGTCACACGAGAGAGTCTGGACTTGCTGCTGAGGTCTGCTGAGGCGTTACGGATTGATTTGTTCTGTGTAACACACAATGAGAAGAATTGCCTGACTAATCCCTTTTTCTCTCTCTCTTCTGCAGGAACCCAGCAACAAGCGTGTCCGTCCTCTCGGCAGGGTGACGTCGCTAGCCAACCTTATTTCTCCGGTGAAGAATGGGGCCGTCCGGCGCTTCGGCCAAACCATCCAGGTAAGAATGGGAACTACTGTGGTCAAGGGAAAACCTCTTCACTGTTCTGCATGTTGCACCAAACATCTTCAAATGCGACATCGTCTGACATCTGGGGTTTTCCTCTTTCCCACCATCAGGCCTCCTTCCGGGGGGATGGCAAGTCGCCGGGCGGGCCCCAGAAGCCTTGCAGCAAGGCAGCGGCCCCAACACCGCCAAAAAGGAGGAACAGCACTCTGTGGTCGGAGACGTTAGACGTCCACCAGAAGGGAACTTTCTCCACCAAAGAGATCAAGCGGCAGGAGGTGAGAAACAGCACTGAAGACAGTAAAATACACTTTGTGTCCTGAAAAGTGTTCAGGACACAAAGTGGCAAAGAGAAGTTTGTGGAAAGTTAGAACCCAGACAGTGAGAAGTTCAACCTGTCTACTAGGCTGCTTTCACACATGTGTGCAATATTTGTGTCAAATAGTCTAAATGGGGCTAAAAGCCATTCAGGGCTCATTTCCCAGTCTGTGTGAGCTCACATACACCTGACAAGCCAACAGAGCAGTGCTCTCCTGCCCCACTTGTCCAGCATATGTCAGACATCTTAGCCAACTGTTGAAACCCATAAGAGATGTAGTTTGAAAATCAAGTCAAGAGCAGCCAGAGCTGATCTCAGCTATTTGGCAGCAGCCAGGTTTTTAGATTGAGTCTAATGGTTGTAATAATGACTTCCTGATTCATGCATTTAGCTAAAAAAGTATCCTCCTCTGCCCCCTCCTCTCTCTCTTCAGGCCATATTTGAGCTGTCTCGTGGAGAACAGGACCTGATTGAAGACCTCCAGCTTGCACGCAAGGTTTGTACTTTTAAATCTCTGAGGCAAAGGGAGTACATATAAAGCAAACAGATTAAATCAAAGTCTGGCAGGGGCTGCATGTAGCCAAGCCAGGAACTATAAAAAGCCAGGAGTTACTCCTCTGTCTTTTTCTCGTACCCCTAAAGCTCTGCTTAAGATATTTTTAGCATACCCCTCCTCTGATGAGATGTTGTTATCTTACCGCTTTGGCTCTTCTCCCGTTCACAGGCGTACCATGACCCGATGCTGAAGCTCTCCATCATGTCCGAGGAGGAGCTGACTCACATCTTCGGCAACCTGGACGCCTACATCCCGCTGCATGAGGACCTCCTGGCACAGCTTTCTAAAGCCACAGGGCCTGATGGGACCGTAGGGCAGATAGGAGAGATTGTCGTGAGCTGGGTAAGCTGTCTTTGATTCTGTTTAAACTCATCTGGGTTTCTCATTAAGAAGAGCAGCACTAATACAAGTGTCCCTTCTCCCCTGCAGCTGCCGAGGCTCAACGCCTACAAAGACTACTGCAGCAACCAGCTGGCAGCCAAGGCTCTTCTGGACCAGAAGAAGCAGGACCGACGTGTGCAGGACTTCCTGCAGCGCTGTCTCGAGTCGCCCTTCAGCAGGAAGCTGGACCTATGGAGCTTTCTGGACATCCCACGCTCTCGCCTGGTCAAGTACCCTCTGCTGCTGAAAGAGATCCTGAAACACACTCCAGCTGAGCACCCGGATGCTGCGAGTCTGGAGGAAGCGGTAAGTCAAGGAAACATATGAGTTTGGCACAAATATTTAGATCTTAAAAAGTGGCAGACATTTAATATTTCGATTCCTTTTTTTTGTTCAGATCACCATCATCCAGGGCGTGCTATCAGACGTCAATATGAAGAAGGGAGAGTCTGAGTGCCAGTACTACATCGACAAGCTGGAGTATCTGGACGACAGGCAGAGAGACCCTCGCATCGAGCAGTGCAAGAGCCTGCTGTGTCACGGAGAACTGAGAAACAAGAGCGGCACGGTGAGCACACACCCATAAAAGGCAGCCAGGCAGGCTCATGATACTTCCTGCCTCGCTGCTGCCCAAACCAAAACTATGATTTAACAATACGACTATGATGTTACACAACAGTGCTCTGGTTTTAATGTTTTCTTTTCCTTTCCTTCCAGAAGCTGCATGTGTTCCTGTTCACCGAGCTGCTGGTTCTCACACGCCCAGTCACAAGGAACGAGCGCCACTGCTTCCAGGTTTACCGACAGCCAATCCCAGTGCAGGATCTGGTGCTCGAGGACCTGCAGGATGGAGACGTCAGAATGGGCGGATCCTTCAGAGGCGCTTTCAGCAACTCAGACAAAGGTGAGGCTCGTCAAAGTTGAAAAAGCTTTTTAGTCGTCAATGTAGGGAATCGTATTCTTAGAAATATTGTTGGTTGACCCGGAATCTGAATTGTCTTCAGTTGATAATAAGATAGTTCCTAGATTGATGTAGGAATAAAGATTGCCACCTGTCAAATATAAACATAAACTAATTCCACTTTTTCCTCTTTCTCCACAGCAAAGAACATTTTCCGGGTGCGTTCCCAAGACCCGAGCCAGGCTCAGTCCCACACGCTGCAGGTCAACGACATCTTCCACAAGCAGCAGTGGCTCAACTGCCTCCGCAGCGCCATCTCCGTCCACCGGCCCCTCAGCGAGCCCTCCACGCCCTCCCCGCCTGCCAGCGACACTGGCTTCAAACGCCGCCCCTCCTCCGTCTCCGCCATCATCCACATGGAGGAAGCGGATGAGAACTGCCTGCAGCCGACCTCTAAATCTGCCCCCACCTCTCCGTGTAGCAGCACCGCCCCAAGTCCCACCTCCACGTCTCCCTCGTCCCGCTCCTCGTCATCCTCTTTGTCATCTTCGACGTCGTCGTCGCCGCTGCTCTCCTCGCCCACATCGCACAAAACCAAAAAGGACAAGAAGTCTCTGTGTTCTTTAGGGAAGAGAAAAGAGACGATGGTTTGAGCTTAGAGGAGAAAATGGACTCCTGAGCGGACATTTGTTTGTACATAAAAACCAACGAGGAGAAGCGTGGGACTTGTATTTATGTGTGTCTGCGGCGTGCGTATTATTACAACAGTGTTCTGTGTTACTGTCCTCTACGGCAGCTATTTACCTTACCCCTCCATCCGAGTGCATCCCACAGAGAGACAGAATTCTGGTGACGTGCACGGCCTCCCCCCCACTCTGAAAAGGGAGGCTTAATGAAGAGCAAACACCTGTGTGTGTTGATTTCTTAAAGATAGAGGTGGTGCATTCAATCCTGTTTACTACTCAATTGATATTTAAGCATTATTTTAGACCTTATGTGGGGGCTAATGAAAGTTTTACATTTTTATATTCTAAAATGTATTGTAGTATTTTTGTAGGTATCATAAAGCAGCACTGTTTTAGCCTTTAGGTGAATTCTTTTGAGCATGTGTGGAGCAGAAAAAGAAAGACGAGAACCCCCAAAATGATCAGGTGTGCTACCCAAGGATAAAGATTTAAGAGTAATCAGAAGACGTCTTATTATTTTTATACATTCCTTTAATGACAGATGTTAGGATCAGGACACTATTTTTATTATATTGCATTCACTGCAGTCGGTGGCATTGATTTAAATCCAGTAACTGAAGAGATTTCAGTTTTTTTCTCTGTTAGAACAAACACATCATGGAGATCATCTGATGTTAAAATCGTGTCGGAGAAGAGGATTTTCATTTTGAAACAAAATTTTGAACTGAGCCATGTTGGTTTTAAGAAAAGCTGACTTTCAGAATGAATTATTTTTCAGTGTAGCATCTTGCATGGAGCTTTAGTTGTGGACACTGCATGCGCCCGTAGAGGCTGCAGGGTGTATTTACTCGTCCTGAATGGCAGGACAGTTAAACATGTAAAAGAAGGGTTAATAGAAAGTTGATGAAGGCTGAAGAGAAAAGAGAAAAGACGGAATAAGATGTGTTTTTGAAATGAAAGAGAGCAAAATGTTTGACTCCATTAACTTCCTGTTTAAGTTGATGTGATAATGTTTGCTCACAGATTGATGAAAGATGGTGAAAATCAAGTTAAGCGTTAACGATGGGACAGAAAGTATGTGAGGAAAAGTCGACAAGAGAGAAGAGTTTTTGTAAGTGAACAAAATGTTTGTATTGAAGAGACGGGAAAAAAAGAAAAGATAAAGGGGCAACGTGTTTGCCATGAACTGTATGTAATTCAAAGAACAATAAAGATCTGTGTAAGATTTGAAACTGAACTTTTCGCTTTGGATCTTGTTTACTTCACTATGACTCGAAACATTAGCTCATCATAGCGGGAAATAAAGTTAATTACTGTGTTACAAGCTTAGATAAAAACATTCATAACAGTCGGATGCCATATCGGCTAAAACCAAGGCTTAGCTTAGCACAAGGACTAAAATGTAGCAACATTAGTGTTTCAATACTCATTCACAAATTTGGCCTGAACATCTTGTTAGCAAATCCCTTAAAAAACAAGTTGTGGGCTGTGTTCGAGATCACACAATACTCACTATATAGTGCCATTTTGTTGTGAATTCTGAGTAGCCTAAGCATGATCATACTCGATATAGTGCCCTAACTGAATCCCACAATGCATTGTGAAAAGTAGTGTACAACCGTTGGCCACTATCCAGACAATATATACCATCATGCATTGCCAATAAAAGCTTTTGGCGAGTGCAAAGTGGCTTCAATTTACTGCCCTAAGACGGAGAAGATTAAGTGTGAACAGGTGTTGCAAATTAGCATTTTGCTAAAAACACTAAGAGTAGTACATCTGGGACTTGTGCGAGGTTACAGCACAAATGTTACTGTATGTCCATGTCAAATAAACAAATAAATTAATAAACTAAAGGCCTCCAGTGCACTCATAACTAAATTCCTATGTAGCGATACTGGGGATCACTGACTTCGAACGCAACAATGACATTTACAGAAGATTTCCTTGCAAACGCCAGCTAGTTGCACTGAGTTCGCTGCTTTGAGATAAAACCCCCAAACTACTGATTTAACCACTGATTAGTTTACTGTATTTATCAATCAAACATGACATTTTATCAGAGAGCCACTGATTAGCTTGTAGGCTATCTGTACTTTACACATATTTGACCAAGCTAGCTATCTGGTTCTTTCTGTTTCCAAGTTTCATGATAAATTAAGTTAACAGGCCATCAATTATAATGTTAATCTGAGAAAACTGGTTGCTAGTCTTTATGCTGAACTAAACGCAAACTCTCAGCTTTTATTGGAAACTCAATCTCTATGCTAATCTTAGCTAACAGGCAATCATCTGTATTTTAGCTAACACACTGCCAGTTGGTAGGCTAAACTCATGTAAGAGGTGAACCAGTTTTTGTTCTAAACATTTAGCTTAACTAAGTTAACAGTCTGCCATTTTTTATGCTAAACTTGAGTTTGCATTTTTACCTCAGTTAACAGGCTGGTAGTGCAGATTAAGCAAGGCTAAAGTAATCAATTGCTGGCATAATTTACTCTTAGTTTAGAAGCACACAACCTCCCGGTGTGCATTTAAAACTAAGATGTCATTCTTTAGGCTAAGCTAACTTGCTGCTAATTTAATTCAAATTGAATGTCACATCCTGCATATTCAATTTTGCCAGTTTTCATGCTAAATAAGCTAATTGACTGCTGGCTGGCTTACTTCCCGCTAGAACCAGTTTAAAATCTTAGCTGGTCATTAGCTCAGCTGGTTTTGCTGGATTGAGCTGGTGGGCTAGCTTTTCCAAGCTGATTTAACTGGTGATCAGCTGGTAAACCAACTTCAGTTAGCTGGTTGAGACGTCCACAGCCATGATAGCAATGCTAATATAGCCTACTTGCTCATTTGATGGCAGGCCAGCATGGACAAGCTGGTACACCTGGCCAGATGGTTTCAAACAAGCCTGGTCATACTGGTCTATCTGGTTAGTTGATGGCAAAACCCTGCCAACTGATAGCACACCAGCATGGACAATCTGGTGTTACTGGTCAGATTGTTGTAGACCAGCCAGGCTATGCTAAATGATTAGGCTACATGGTGACAGACCAGCATTGAAATACAGGTTTTAGTGCAACAGATGTTTTTTGGAGTGTAGCTTTACTTTGTTTCTAGGAATAATGTTAAGTTTGAGCAGTGGCAAAATATTGTGTCAATGTGACCCAAAGTTGCAGCTACTGAAAGTTGTAAGACTCGGTAGAAAACATAAATAAGAAGGCAGATCATGTAGAAAAATGTTCCATCCAAGGAGAAAAATCTCCTTCACCATTCAAGCTGCAATAGCAGAATGCAGAATATGATCCTGATGTACAGTATGAAGAGTTATAAGACAATAAAGCAAATAAAAGCTCTTCCCAAAGTGTAAAACTATTCATAAAATAGACACTTCAGCGTGAAGGTCCTCATCGACCTGGTCTATGACTCACATGACACCGAGTAGAGGAGTGTCCCAAATGAAGACAGGAGGAGACATCAACTGATTTACGACTGTGCTTAACCCTTAACCAAACATTCATTTCCACGTAGGTGCCAAGAGAAACATTTCCAGTGAAGGATTTGTTTTTTCAAACTGCGACATCGCCGCCCGCTCCCTGTTTGACCAAACGTATTTATTGACAGAGATTTTATTGAGGAAACACCTCACTTTGTCAGCTCTGTGATTTCCATTTGGAAGATCTGACAAATGGTGCACAAGGGCCTCTCAAATGTTTAAAAGTTTCAAGAGTGGACTGCTGCTGCTCCCTTCATAGTCGTGTTCAGTTTGGTGATGATGCAAGGTGAAGTGAAGGGAAAGAAAAATAACAAGAGACAGCTTCATTTCAGCCATCACGGTGAGGTTTTTTTTTTACCGTGAAACATTAAATCTTTGCGGGAGCGAGGCTGATTTTCTTCCCTTTAATTTGTCTGCTTGGCAGAATCCAGACGCTGGTTGTGATTTTTATTAAATAATGGCCTCACGTCTGCCTCTCACAAACTGAGAGCATTCTCCGAACATTTGCTCATGCTCTCACAGACACCCATTTACTTTAATGAAAGCTGAACCAGGACCAGTGAAATACTGAACTGGGATCATGGGCATAGCTCGACCTCTGTACTACTTTGTTTACAACTACGGTAACAACCTGTATTTTTGTTTCTTACATCTAGTAACCACCAGGATTGCCTTAAACATTGTAATATAGCCTACTACAATATCTACAAGTGATCAAAGCTGAAATAAGAAGTGCTAAAGTATACATGCCAGTGTGCTGGATGTTTTTAACAGACAGATTCAGTCATTCAGTACCTTTACATGCTGAAGAAAATGTTGATTTATTGTGTCAGTGCGACTAAAACTGGACTTTTAAAAGAAATGTAAACATGTTCTGACTAACTGGAATCGTAGCCTGTCAGACTAACAGATAATACGGTTGGGGGTCGATTGACTTTTGCATGTATACACCTCAATTGGACCCAAACTGGTCTATAGCTTTGTTGACCTCTGCTTTTGAATATCACCATAAACTAGAGGGATAGCATCCGTTGTACTAAAAGTAATGTGATTATTAGTCACACATTTATCTTGTAGATTAACCACAGAAGATGAGAAACTTCCCGTTTTGTATTAAGTCCCCAAAAGCCGCAGCATGACGTGTTTCTCTATTCCACATCCTGTGGTGTAATGAGTAGTCTCAAGTTAAAAGTGTAACCTGACGGCATTTATGATTTTCAGTTTTCAATATTGTTTAGAAATAGAGGATTCTGCTCCTCCCTATATTCCACTTTTTCAATCCATCCAGCTGATCACAATGAGTCTGGTTCTGCTCGACGTTTCTGCCTCCTCTAAATGTTTCAGAGTGTTTAGCTCATTGTAGATTCATGTTCTGTTCTGTAAATAATTATGAATGCAAACTTTATAGCTTCTCTTTCAGGTTGGTAAATGAATCAGCTCAATGCAGAGTGTGTGGCAGATTGGTCTTGATTAAAACCAGGTGTGGGGAGTTTATATCTACTCCTGGACTCCAGCAGTCTGTGCTGACTCATTATCTCACCTTCAGAGGTAGTGCGAGGTTCTCCCTGTGGTTTGTGCTTGTTGTCTGTGTTCATAAACACACACACAAATAACTTTGTGTGTGTGTTTGTGTCCATTGCTAGTCTCTCAGGGAATAACTTGGTGCTCAGCTGTTTGTGTTAACTCTTAATGCCTTGACTTTTGTTTATTGTTTTCTGGGTCTCCTGGACAATTTACTTTTGAGTTAGTTTAGTTTAGAAGGGTGTTTTGGCTCTATACTATGTCTCTGTCCATTTTCTCGTTTGATTGTGGTAGCAAGTTAAATGCAAAGATAATTTGTACTGAGAACACCAAAAAGACTTTACTGAGAACCAATCGACCCTCGTTTAAATTGGTAAGCCTTTCATGCAAATAAAGATAGAGGTTGATTGGAGCTTTGGAGGTGTCAGCTTTAACAAAGTGTTACTCAGTGAGCAAATGCAGTGGCTGAGGTTGATTTTTAAGATGCCACACACTCCACCAGCTGCTGTTTCCTGAAAGGAAGTTGCTGTTTTCAGGGCTATATCTTTTATATTAGAAACACAAGCAGCTGAAAAACGTCCTGCTTTGTTTTTAGAAAGACGCCAGCTGAGAACCAGCCCAGACACAAACACATCAAGTTCCTCTGCAGTGTACCAGAAACCTCTCTCAGCGGCTCATCCGAGCGAAAGAGCTGAAGGCGAATAAGTTACGGACGCAGACAGCTGAGCCTCCTGTCAGTGATCCGTCACCGCCACATCATCTGCCTCCGCTAAAAACTCCACAACACACCCTGAAAGCTAAAATCTGAGCCTGAGCCACCCTGTGGTTGCAGACAGAGGAAGAGAGTCTACATGAAAGACCAGATAAACTAGAGGAAGAAGAAAACTTCCCCAACTGGTCTGACTCAGATTCCTCTTTGACCAAAATGTAGAAGTGACTCCTCATGCTGGACATGAGCTAATGTGACAATGAGCTGAGGAAGCAGGACTGTAGAATGACTCATTTCCGTTTAGATTTAGAGTAATTGTTTGACTTTTGTTTTCCTCACAGTGTGGTAAATTATTTAAATCATCTTTGTTTAGATCAATATACCCTTTAAGCCAGTTTTACCTGCCACTGTTTGCTCAAAGTTAGACTTCAACAATTTTAGGAAATACTCACAAGTGAATATTCTTGTTTTATTTTAAGTGATAAATCTTTAATGCACTATAGAAGACTCCAAAAGC